GGGAGTGCGCGGTGGCGCGGTGTGTCCCGAACTTGAAGCGTCGTAGGCTCGCTGCATCACGTGCTCTTGGTGCCGCTTGCTGCTGCTCCATCGCTGTTGTTGAGCCGCCAGGAGTATTTTAAAAATTCGGGTCGGGTCGTGTCAACCCGGCAACCCTCACGGGTTGGGTTCAGGTTGAAAAAGCAACCCATTTACAAAAAAAAAGATCAAGTTCGAGCTGACCCGTTTAAAGCCGGGTCAATTCGAGTCCGACCCGAACCCAACCTACTGACCCGAATTGACACCCCTATTATTGACCAAAATTTACTTGTCTCCCTCTACTCTACTATCTTTTGAGCCCTTTTTTCATATGTTTCTTCCTGCACAAAAATTCAGTCAACTATCAAGTGGAGACTACAATCCACAAATAAAACTTGCATTATCCAACTAAAATTTGAGATTAATCAAATCACTATGAAAGATCGATCCATTATGCAATATCTTTTGGATATCAAAGCAAAGATTGATGTCATTGCTACAATTGGGCCACCCCTTGAACTTGAAAATGTCATTATATATACCCTTATTGGTCTCCCAAACCTTTAAAACTATCCGAACTGATCTCCAACCAATCAATCTGGATGACTTATATTCTCTCCTCTATATGTTATGAGTTGTTTTAGTTTTAGGCTATGTTGCTCATGCATGTTATCACACCTTCGTAATGCTCTATAAATAGAGGTCTTGGGTTGATGTAAGATTTGGGGAAAAATCTGAAAAGCTTAAATTGTATTTCCTCCCAAATTGCTGTCTCCCTCTCCTTCCCTCTCTCTCTCTCAAGAACATCTTCCAAAATCCTAACACTATATCTAGTGGTTGAATCTTCAACATGAACAAGCAAAGAACATGTCTTCTCAGCTAACACTAGGAAGTCATCTCAACCTTTCAACTATGGAAAAACTTTCTTCAAAAGTTAGGAACTCAACCTTCATTACAATAAGTGGAAGTCTAGTCATGTTGGCGTCGTACTAATCTTTCATTTGATCCAGGGAGGTTGCATTTCTTTCATCTATATATGGAGTGGGCTGGGGAGGAGAGGTGGGGGAATATGAGGGCCACACCCATCCAAGTTCATTAATCAAAAAGTGTATGTAAAAGGCTTACAATGTAACATTGAGGTAGTCAACATATATAGTTTTAGCAAGCTAGCCATGTTTGCCTTCATTACAATAAAGTGAAATTTGTCTACTTAAATATCAATCATTTTCTTTTTTGATGACTAAGAGAAGATAGTGAGGCCAAGTTCACAGGCAATTAAGGAGCACTCATCTTCTGATATTGCTGTCTCTACAAAAAAAGTCTATTAGAATTGAAGACAAGTCCTTATACAACAGTACAACTTTCTTCCTTACCGAAGGAGAAGTAAATATCTCATCACTTATCTCAACAAAAAGTCTTAACCTTTTATGAGGAGAAAAGTCGATAATGCATTTGTCTTTCCCCTGGACTTCCCTGGGAATCTACTGAGCTTGTCTCTCAACCCTAGCAAACTCATTTATTTAGATGATGCCTGTGGGCCTCCGAAGGAGCACCGCTCGCGGGGGTTCGAATCAACCCTAGCAAACCCATTTATTTAGATGATGCCTTGTATTTGAGGTCTGCTAGAGGGAGAGGCACTCGTTGGAGCTTTTATCTACAATCATATATGTAGCCAATTCTATAAAGTTCAAGTCCCAACTTAAATCTAAATATGAGGACAATGATTAAGTTCAATTTACAGCGTGTCAGCGGCACAGCTGGTGTTTCATGTCGTGTGTTGTCAACCCAACAACCCGGTGGGTTGGGTTCAGGTCCCCCCCCGAAATTTAAGGCTGGATCCATCCTTGGGTTCGGATCGTGTTAACAGCACGGGGTCGGTTCCATATTCGACCCAAATCAGACCCATCAATCCAAATTGACACCCATAACTATCTATGCTCAAGCTCATTTTATAAAATTCTCAAAAAACTTCACTCTTAAATTCATTGCTCTCTTTATTCGTTTTCTTTATACATGTTGTGATTCACATATAATTATTTTAAACTAAATACGTTGCTCTTATCTTCCTCCCCTAAATAATAATATAACATTTAATTATATGGAACTGAAATAAGATATCGTATGATTAACATACAGTAAATGCCACTAATTTTATTGATAAAGGCAATTTAAATTATTATTATTATTATTAAGATTCACCGTATATATGCATACTGCGACACACAGAATTCTATTAAGATGGGCTACACAACTCCCCTTGGCCTATTGGTTGAGAGCTTAGGCTTCCAACTAAGAGGTTCAAGGTTTGAATCCTTGTGTATGCGTTGTGTGTGTGAGTTTGCCTAAATGGCCTAAGGGTGCGTTTGGAACGGCTGCAGCTGTCGATAAAGTAGGTTGTAAATGTGTTGTACATAAAGTTGCTTCTTGAAGTTGCTTTATAGAAATCATTATATTTTGTTTGGATAGTATAACTGTAGAGCTGCTGTGCTGCAGCTGTATGAGAACTAATTACCTTCATACCCTTATATATATTTAGATGAAAATATAATTTTTTTCTTTTTTTTTTTAAAACCTGCCTCTTGACTAGCACAAGCACAAACCTTTCATATGAATCAATCAGTAATGGACTAATATACTCAGAAGTTGATAGAAAGATGTCCATTTATATCTTCTCTTGCCCAGAGAAGAAAAATCTTCCACATTAAAAGAAATTTTCACTCCCTTCCGCGGTCCGTTCGTGATTCACGGGGAGATGGATCTGATAATCCTAAAGAACTAATTTTCTCATACATAAACAGGAAGAAATCACTCGATGACCATAATTTCTGCAGCAATAACAGCCCAACGCGAGAGAGGAATCATAGAACATTTTCCAGATCGATTAACATAGACCAAAAAAGAATGTAACAGTAGACGGACGCACAGTGGGAGAGAGAAACTACCTATAGATTGGATCGGCATCGCCGGCGCTGGCGTCGAGGCCTCCAACAAGAAATCCGAGAACAAGAAGAAGAAGAAAAAGATGAAACAACTGACTCGTCATCTCAATCGAGACCAAAAATATCAGAAAGAAAAGGTAAGATTTTGAAAAGCAGGCGGATCAAAGAAGAAGATGGGCCGGGAGGATCGCGCTGCGACTGCGACGAAGGGCCAGATCCCGTCGCTACCGCATAACCGCTTCTTTGGTCAGATCCCGTCGGCAATCGGCGAGATCAAAAGCTTGGTATCGCTTGACCTTTCCAACAATGATTTCTCCGGTCCCGTGCCATCCGAGATTGCGGGTTTAGATCCCGTCGGCAATCGGCGGTTCAGAATCTTCAGCAAGAACCAGAAAGGTTCGCCAGCGTGGAATGATCGGCGTGCGGTGCATTTGTTTGATGGATAGTGGAAAAGCAGAGAGCACCGCGGCGACGACGGTAGCGATATTTGCCGTGGGATTTTCGTCATTTTTCTGCCGAAAGCAGCCGACTGCAGCGGACCGCGGGATAAGAGAATGGTCGTGGGAAGCAACAGCGGACCGCAGAATTTTTTCTGCCGTGGTTCTGCCGCAATGTCCCAAACAATGATTTAATGACTTTTTATAAAGTAAAGCAGCAGCACCGCCGTCCAAACGCACCCTAAATGTCCCCAAAAAAAAAAGGGCTGGAGCTTTGGATGGGGCCCACAACTGTATACACGTGGCTCTCGTTTATCATGGATTCTCGCGGTGGCCCCATACTCCTGGAAATCAACGAACGCTTGGCCACCTCACGCCAGCAGCCAGCCGGCCAAGACAGATCCTCTGTTCCCATTATAACACATGACGTCCAAACAAACCGTTCAAAATTTTGTTAGATTGCCTTAAGATTCGCATATGAAATGATCAACGCAATTTGCACGCCTAATCCAAGGCTTTATCAGTCCTTAGATTATTTAAATACGCTCCACCATCACATGCGATATTTCTTTTCAAAAACCCGCAGGTCCCATTTGACACCTAATATTATAGATTTTTTTTAAGAATATTGAGTGAGATATAGAATCTTATATATATATATCACTAAAATGATTATATATTCATAAATTGATTCAAATTTTTGAATAACACAGGAGCGTGGGTGGCTCGATAGATCAGTTTGGGTTTTCAAACCAGCGTAATGGGCGAAGCTTGACGTGGCAGCAAACAGTTCCTCGACACTAAATTTTTTTTAAATAATAAAAATTTGAAATAAATTAGCTTTTTTCTTAAATTTATATAGCATTTTTAATTATTTTAAATCTTAAAAATTAAAAAAAAATGTAAATCTAGCTTAGAAATACAAAGCGCTGTAGAATATCGGACTAGTTAGGGGTGTCAATTCGGGTCAATGGGTCGGGTTCGTATCGAACCCGGAATTGACCCAACACTATTCGGGTCAACCCGAACCAACCCGTTTTAAAAACGGGTCAGGTTTTCGGACCTGAACCTGACCCGATTCGGGTCCGGGTCAACCAAATCCGACACGAATGACTCGGGATTGACCCAAAATTGCTAGTTTTCGGGTCAAAACGGGTCAATATCAAGTTTTCGAGTCAAATACAAGTTTTTGCATCAATTTCGGGTTGTTGGGTCAACCCGAACCCGATCCGATTTTTAAAACGGGTTGATTTGTTGAACCAGAACCTCGACCCGGTCCAAGTTGATCATAACCAGGATTTTTTCGGGTTGGGTATAGGTCAAGTTTCAGGTCGTGTCAAAAATTGACACACTACGACCAGCCCACCGCACCAGCACCCGCACCCTGGCCGCCCATTTGTGTTCACTGCGGCTCTTTGAGCACTTCGGTCGCTGACTCGTCTACATCACTATTAATTATTCTTTGCCGATATCGGATAACATCCGGTGTCAAATCAAAATATATCATGTCACCTCTTTGTTGTGTATTGATATCCTTATTGTGCAGCACGGCTATATACCTATTATTTAACCTGATAATGTGGCCCTCTAATAAAGAAACAGAAAAAATAGAAAGAAACATACTGTACAGTACCGCTGCTCTCTCTCCACTCATGTAGAGTTTTAAACAGAGAAGGCTCTTCTTCCTCATCACAAGAAACCTGGAAGCCTATATAAGTAGCAGAAAGCGAGATAAAGGAAGAAGGATTTCGTGGCATTGTGATCCAGAGTTTGACGCCTCGGAAGGGAATGTTGGAGCGGCGATGGAGTTCTGGCCGGAGTTCTTGGCGAGCAGCTGGGGAAGGGAGTTCGTGGCAGGAGGGCTCGGAGGGATGGCTGGCGTCGTCGCCGGTTATCCCTTCGATACGCTTCGAATCCGCATACAGCAGCCGGCCGGACGGGCGGTCGATGGCTGCCGACCTTCCGCCACCGCCTTGTTTCGATCAATCCTGCGCTCCGAGGGCCCCGCTGCTTTGTATCGCGGCATGGCTGCCCCCTTGGCTTCGGTTGCCTTCCAGGTCGGTTCCCCTTTTTGGTATTTTCTGTCTGTTGCACTTTTGGAAAGCAATCAGGATACGGAAGTGTGTTGGATGATTAGAATCTAATGAAATATTCTGAATAAGTAATTTTATCAATCTCAAATGTGTTCTCCGAATCTCGATAGATGCGATCGCTTCAGAATGTTCGGATCCTTTATCGATCAGCGGGATGCTTACTCTGGGCAAGTTTCTCTGTTAATTTTCGATCTAGAAGTACCCTAAAATAAATAACAGGAAAAATTATCAGTATTGTAGAGTAGATTTGATGTACAGTCATCAACTTCAAAATTTTGTTTGATTTTTTGTGTGAGATGATGATTGCTGAATACTAAAATTCTCATTTTCAAAAACCAATTAGTTTCTTTTGATTTCGAAGTCCTCTGTATTGGCACTACACTTTGATTGGGAGTTCAGGAAAGACGAAACGATTTGCGTGGAGATAAAAAGATAAGAAAGAAAGAATACTAATATGCTTCAGTTCTGAACCTGGGAATTCTATGAGGAAAAAGAATATTCATCTCATTTTTTATTTGGAGTTGCAATAAAAAATGAAAAATATATATTTTAATTAACAACATATATTAAGAGGAAAGATGCATAAGCTCGGATTGAGAGACAATAAATTATATTCTTTTGTTCGATCCAGGGTAGTTTGGGTATCAAAATTTGTCAGGCGAATTCTTTTCTCTCCTGCTGTATGATAATAAGAACAGAATCATTGTGGGTTGCAATTGAAGATCTGCTATATGATGAACAAGTTCAAACTTTTCTTGATTTGATGTGCCAGTTAATTACTGAAAGTTTCTTTAGATTTCTTCTCCTATTAAGTTGAACAGAGTGAATTCTTTAAACTCTACGATTACATAGGCTTGTTGATTGGAGTAAATAGCCATTGCTTTATGGTTAAGTGCAGCTGAATTGTATTTGATTGATGAATAAAGTGTCTGTTTTTTTATCCAGCTTACTTATTGTTAATAAGATAAACAATTGTTTATCATTCCATGTTTCCTGTAACCTGTAGGTAGACATCGAGAAATGAATCAATAACAGGTACTAATTCAACAGAATATAATAGAATATCACAAAGATTCTTCTGTTATCATTGCGATCCTATGTCTTCTTAGATTCTACAATGATTAGATATTATTTTTTATTCATAAGAGTTTATGGTAGGCAGGGTATTTTAAATAGATGAGTGTTGGTGGCTACAAGTAAAAGAACTATTCAACAGGAAACTACAACCCAGAACTAAAAAAAACCACTGCATGACTTACAATATGCAGCACATGCAAGGCTTCATCTGGAGGAACGAAACCTATTCCTATTTCACTAATTTAGACTGGCCCAAGGCTGGATCCACTGCAGGGGGCACTGATTCCTGCCTCCACTGGTTTGAGTTTATTCCACATGTTGTTGATTTAGATACTCAATCTTTTTTTTTTTTTTTCTTTCTTAACATAAGTCAAATCTAATTAGTTACTCAATCTTTTTAGGTCTACCTCTTTTTAGATCAATTAAGTTAAATTCAAACACACATCATGTACACAAAACTCGAACCCAAGATCTCTTAGTTGGTAGCCAAAGCTCTCAGCCAACTGACTAAGATGAGCTGCGTTAGTTACTCAAACTGATGAGCAACAACAACAACAACATCAAGCATTTGTCCCACTACGTGGGGTCGGCTACATGAATCTTTGTTCTCCATTGTGTCATGTTAAAAGTCAAATTTTCGTTTAAATCTAATAAAGAAAGATAATTTCTAATATTTTCTAATCAAGTCTTTTTAGGTTTACCTCTACCTTTCTTAACATAAGTAAAATCTAATTAGTTACTCAATCTTTTTAGGTCTACCTCTTTTTAGGCCAATTAAGTTAAATTCAAACACACATCATGTACACAAAACTCGAACCTAATATCTCTTAGTTGGTAGCCAAAGCTCTCAGCCAACTGACTAAGATGAGCTGCGTTAGTTACTCAGACTGATCAGCAACAACAACAACAACATCAAGCATTTGTCCCACTACGTGGGATCGGCTACATGAATCTTTGTTCTCCATTGTGTCATGTTAAAAGTCAAATTTTTGTTTAAATCTAATAAAGAAAGATAATTTCTAATATTTTCTAATCAAGTCTTTTTAGGTCTACCTCTACCTTTCTTAACATAAGTCAAATCTAATTAGTTACTCAATCTTTTTAGGTCTACCTCTTTTTAGATCAATTAAGTTAAATTCAAACACACATCATGTACACAAAACTCGAACCCAAGATCTCTTAGTTGGTAGCCAAAGCTCTCAGCCAACTGACTAAGATGAGCTGCGTTAGTTACTCAAACTGACCAGCAACAACAACAACAACATCAAGCCTTTGTCCCACTACGCGGGGTCGGCTACATGAATCTTTTTTCTCCATTGTGTCCTGTTAAAAGTTAAATTTTCGTTTAGATCTAATAAAGAAATATCATTTCTAAATTCTAATATTTTCTAATCAAGTCTTTTTAGGTCCATCTCTATCTTTCTTAACATAAGTCAAATCTAATTAGTTACTCAAACTGACCATCAAACTTTTTTTTAGTTTATGACATATGATTAAAATATTTGTAAAAAATATCAACAGCAAAAATACCCGGCATGTAGAGGGAGAAGTTGTTAACGCATGTGTCAGCCTTTGAGATATCACCGGAGGCATTGCAGACCTATCGCCTAAGTTTTCAAGGCTTTCAACTAGTGCAATCTACAGTGGAGTTTAAGAATATAAAACTAAATTATATTACCGTGCCCCTGCTCCAAAATATTCCTCTGAGTCATCCCTGGACTGGCCCCTATGGTTTTGTTTTGATTTTTATAAATTATCAGCCGGAACTAAAACCTCTGATATAAAGCATTTTCAACCATTTTTAGTAAAATCAGGTTATGTTTGTTGAAACTAACTATAATTCTCCATTTTGAATGCAGAATGCAATGGTTTTCCAAGTATATGCTGTGTTGTCAAGAGCTTGTGATCTAGACAAGAAGAACGAACCTCCTTCCTACAAAAGTGTAGCCCTCGGTGGGTTTGGAACCGGTGCCTTGCAAAGTTTCCTGCTAAGTCCAGTAGAACTTGTAAAGATCAGACTTCAATTGCAGACACTGAACCACCACCATCATAGCTGCGGAAAATCTGAGGGCCCTCTCACCATCGCCAAGAGAATTCTGCAGACCGAAGGCCTGCGCGGAATCTACCGAGGCTTCGCAATCACCATTCTAAGAGATGCTCCAGCTCATGCAGTTTACTTCTGGACTTACGAATATGCCAGGGAACATTTGCACCCTGGCTGTCGAAAGCGGGCCGATGAAAGCTTGGGCACAATGCTCATTGCCGGAGGACTGGCCGGAGTTGCAAGCTGGGTATGTTGTTATCCTCTGGATGTGGTGAAGTCTAGGCTTCAGGCGCAGTCGCCGCCTCGAGGAAGTCGGCCACCGCCGAGATACAATGGAATCATTGATTGTTTTCAGAAAAGTGTTCGAGAAGAAGGCTATTCAGTTCTGTGGCGTGGATTAGGAACTGCAATCACCAGAGCATTTGTTGTGAATGGAGCTATCTTTTCTGCATATGAGTTGGCTCTTAGGTTCTTGGTTAATGGTGGCCAAAGAATAAGCTTAGAGAAGAGTTGAATGAATGAATAGAGAACAAAGGTACTCTCAAACATTTCTTTGTGATTGGATTTTCAATATGTTTCTTTGATTGAAAGAATAATATTCTCTTATTCATCTATTTGCAAATCATGAATGTGTAACATAATGCATACTACTATTTCATGAGATTAAAGATTTGTTTAAATGGTTTGGGTGACATTCTTTTTGGACTGAGCAGTATTGAACAGAGTTGATTGGTGAATTGTGAGCTCTTTATTTTACACACATAACACTTAAAATTATCAAAATACATATTCAACACTCAAACGATTATATTTACTAATATATAACCTCAAACCTTCATTTCCATCTATTCCAACACTCCGTTCAAGCCCCATTACAAATCCCTACCTGCCTGCGTTGTCTTCCGTTTGTCCGCGCGAATGAATGTCTTCCCACGACACCGGAGGAGGTGCCGCCGTGGAACATCCGTTCACCCTCGCACCCATCCTTTTATCCCTCTTCTATCCCCACATCTCTGACTCTCCCTACTTCAACTCGTCGTTACCTCCTAAGCCCGGCATCACCGTAACCTTCAACCTTGCCGATGATCCCAACGGCACATCGCCCTCTACTCCTTCCTCAACTCCTAGTTTGCATCACTGAGTAGGGGTGTCAATTTCAGGTCACGGGTCGGGTTCAGGTCAAATCCGAAATTGACCCGACACTATTCGGGTCAACCCGAACCTGACATATTTTTTGTAAACGAGTCGAATTTTTGGGTCAACCCGACCCGACTCAAAAGACCTGGAATGCACAAAAAAATACTAGTTTTCGGGTCCAAAAATGGGTCTATCTCCGCTTTTCGGGTCAAAACGAGTCAATCTTGGGGTGACGGGGCAAAAACGGGTTTTTGGATCAAAAAAACAGGTCAATTTCGGGTAATTGGGTCAATCCAAACCCGACTCGATTTTTGAAACGGGTCGAATTGTTGAACCCGAACTCGACCCGTTTCGGGTTTGGGTTGATTCGGGTCAACCCAAACCCGAAATTTTTGGGTCGGATTTTCAGGTCGGGTCCAATATTGACACCTCTAATATTGAGGTTATGCCTCCTCAATTCAACACCTCTGGTGAGAACTTCATCGACCGTCGTCAACCTCAATATCAAGCTCCAGCCACCAGGGGCCACCAGCCACCACCTACTTTTTATCGACCTCTTCTATGTCTGTCTCATCTCTTTACTCTCCTAATCTCCTTTATTTCACCAAGATCCTGAAAACAGGATCAAAAGAGAGATTCAACTAGTTATTTCAAGAGTGAGTGTATGTAAGCATGTCTGATGATTATGCTTCTTTTCATGTCTTTTTTTTTTCTATGTAAATTATATTATATACAGTGTCAAGTAGAACAGTTCATAACCTTCTTTTTTTCTTTTTCTCAATCAACTTAAAATATACTAAAGAAAAATATGAATAAATTCCTTTCTAGAGACAATTATATTTAGTTTTCTATAATGGTAAATCCATAACCATAATGAAAAAAGTTGAATTTTATAATTTATAACCTAATAATTAGAATATATATTAGAGTTCAAAATAATTTTTATTAATAGATACTTATGTTTAAAATGAAGGTAATCATTTATATAATTAATAAATCAATTATTATATTTTAAGTAATTTATATGAATTATAAATAAGAATTACATAATAATTTATTATATAAAAGTGTTTTGAGACTATATATGATAGAATCATTAATATTCCAATCTAAACTCTCCTCAATAATAATCAATAATTACTATATGTACTCTATACCTCTTCATAATTCATTCTAATCTAAATCTTAATGAATTATCTATGGAGGACAATTCCATAACCAATGAATTAATCATTAAAGAACATTAATAAACCACCACCAAGGGTAGATTTACAACTATACAAATGATGATCCAAGTTCAACAAAATTCAACACAATTATTATCAGCAATTAAGATAAAAAAATCGACTTATATCGCACAGTTGCCCGCTTGCCCGTTCAGAACTTCCTGCTCGCCCGCCGTTGCCGCCGGCCCGCCGCACCGCTTCCCGTTGCGAACCGCCGAACCCACCGCGTCCCACTACGAAGTGCGAACATGCGCTGCTGCCCGCAATGGATAATGGGTCATGTCGGGTTGACCCGAACCCGAAGCGGATCGGGTTTGGGTCCAGGAAATCGACCTGTTTGCAAAAACGGGTCAGGTTCGGGTTGACATGATTGGTGCCGGGTCAGTTTCTGATTCGACCCGAACCCGACCCGTGACCCGAAATTAACACCCCTAAAAATGATCTCCTCATACGCTTCTCCATCATCAAAAACAATCTCCTCATATGCTTCTCCATATCCGGAATACATATCGATTGTGATTCTAGCGAGCAATAGATGCCAATAGAGGTTTAGGGTTTATGAAGGATACTGAACACCAAAGTTGAGACAATGCAAATGCATATCGATGAAGATTTTCAATCAAAAGTAGACACCAATTGATAAAAAGAGGTGAGAGCAGAAGCAGAAGCAAAGAGATTGATGGATCAATTATAGATATTCTATAAAATGATGAGTTTTATTTGATAGGTAGAAGCGGAAGGGAAAGAATTTTAGTTTGATTCCAATGATTTAAATGCAGAGTATAAGTGATAATTAATTAATAAAAATCACAAGAGCAGCAATTAATTAATGCAGCTTCAGCCTTCATGATAATTAATATAATACATTTTACATTAATAAAAATAATATTATAGTTATTAATAATTCATAATAATTAAAATCGAAGGCTAGAATTTTATTTGAGTAATTAAAATGAAAGAAAAATATTTTATTTAGAAAGAAACTCAAGTCCTTTTTATAATAGTAGTATAAAAATATTTATTATAACATTCTGATTATGTAAAGATATTACAATTAATGTAAATCTTACATTAAAGGTTTATCAACAAAATTATGCTCTTAACCAAACAAGCTTAATTTGAACATTTCTTCAATAATGACTTTAATCATTAAAAACTTATAATCACATTATTTCACTATAGAAATTAATCTCCTATCCACAAATCATAGAAATTAAAATAGATATTATTTCAATAATGACTTTAATCATTAAAAACTAATAATCATATTTTGAGCTCTTTCCTTGATAATTGAAAGGAACATCATACAAATTCACCCCCATGAAATAATATATTGAACAAATAAATATATAAAAAATAAATAAGATGTAATTCAAAAGGTTCAAATAATAGGTAACTTCTTGTTCCTTTCCCCAAGTAGTCATTCATCTGCCTTTTATATCAATTTATTAAGAATGATAATTTAAGATAAAAAGATAATTTCATATTAGATGTATTATTATGATAGCACCCAAGTCAGTAAGGTATGACAACTTTCCTTCTGACTAAGGCTTCATTTAGGGCAGCTTTCTTTTCTGCTTCTTAAAACAAAATTTTAGTATAAAAAAATAATTTTTATACTAAAAAGTTGTTTTAAGAAACAGGAAGAACGACGTCTCAAACGAGGCCTAAGTGAGTGTTCCTTAAATGAAAATTATCTATCATGTTCTAAAAGGATAATTAGCCATAAAGTCTTGAACCTAAAAAAAAAATATCTTGAATCATGATATAAAGTTCTCTTCAAGGCTTGGGGCAGTGTAATAACTAATATTTACTTTATATTTTAAAAGTTATCCTAAATATCAACTTTTATTCTATGCATTATGTAACCAACTAGTAATTTTGAAAGCCCTTATGCAAGCAATCATATTAGTTAAATATCATCAGAGTTGAAAAAAAAAAAGCTATAGTGATAATGCCATAGGAGTAGTGATTATCAAAGATTTATAAAGATGCATGGATAATGAATTCATATCTTTGATGTTCTTTGAACATTGATGATGTAAACTAGAGAATGTGCTATCATTATTGAAACTATGCTACCATCATTATCATCTAAAAAAGACTTATTAGGATGCCTCTCAATAAGAAGCAAGTTTTTTAAAGACAGACTATCATACACAAACTCTCGTATCTAGACGAATTGATCTATGTCGTCAAGGACCCTAACTATAATAATCAATCGTAGTTGATTAGACGATACGAGGCTCTCTAGTCTTTTTTATTTAAAAAAAAAAAACCATTTTATAGAGAACTCGGGCTACTCCTATCAATCATGGTTGATTAGGTGAAGTTTTTTTTTTTTTTTTTTCATTCATCATCAAATCAAAGAGTGTTCTATCCAAACAGTCAAGTCAAGTCAGCTAGGCACAAGCATTGAAAGTCATTAGGTAGGTAAGCAAGCCTGCTGAGGAAAAAATAATCTAATATGAGGTAAAGGCCGAGGTTTCCACCAAATCTGATAAGCCAAAAAGTGTAATAAGTCGATCGCATATGTGTGATTAGGAGATACAAGTGAGATTTCCTAGTTTTCAATTTAACATATTGTTCCACTTAGGACATAGGCTACTACTATTAACAACAATTGATCAGATAATGCAAGTGAGATTCATAAACTTTTAATAATTGAACTAATTATTAAGAAATTATTCTGTGCGGACACCGGGTCAACCCGAACCCGACCCGTTTTTGAAACGGGTTGATTTCTGGAACCCGAACCCGACCCGTTTTGAAATCGGGTCGGGTTCAACCCGGATTTTCCGGGTCGGGTTTTCGTGTCGTGTCAAATATTGACACCCCTACTCCTACTGGTTGTGAATGACCAAGGGAGGGATGAAGTAAAGTTTTTTTGGGTAATCCTATAGAGACGCATCAAGCAATAAGTTCGATAATATAAAATGAAAGTTTGTGAGCAAAATATAAATACACAAAATAATTTAAATAAATTAGTTTAAACATTTGTCACCTTATTTTAAACATTTGTCACCTTATTTTTTGTGCCAAATATTTTTATTTCAGGTTATAAAATACAAAAATTATCAAGTTGCCTACATGCAACTCAAAATTGTTTTTCACTCCCATTGTAGGCATAGTTATTAAAAGTCATAACTGAGATGTTAGTGCCAAGAAAAGTCATAGATAGATATTTGTCTCCTTTCGGATTTTTTTTTTTATCAGTCTAATCCAATTGTTGAGACTAGTAAAAATAGTGTTTCCTTGTTCCGGAATTTGTTGTCTTTGCTTTGCGCTTTGTGAAATCATTATAATTGAATGAAAGGTACAATTTGGCGAAGAAAAAACTACTCGAATAAAGGGTAGAATTAAGACAGATACAGATTAAACTAAAGATATTAAATATAACAAATATTCTTTTCTTGTTCTTAAAGATTAAAATGAAATTGAAATGATAAGAAATTATCAGATTGGATTGAGTTGTTTTTCTGAGGGATTTTTTAAAAGAAAAAAGCAGATAAAAGAAAGAAATTCTGATTTTTCTTTGACTTCTCCCCAATCAAGAATCCTTCCTTACATTATCCAATCAAATAAGAATACAAGGAATTCTATTTTCATACAATATCTTAATTGAATTCTAAGTAATGATCAATTAATCTATATCTATTGTGTTGAATCCCAGCGACAACATGTCCTATATTTCTTTTGGTTGGTGGTCGACTGAGCGATGCGGGGCGGGGTGCGCTTGACTGCGCGGCAGCGAGGTGGCGCGAGTGCGCGACGCGGGGCTGACACGGTGATGCGGGGCCGACAACCAAGTTTATGTGTTATTCCATGTCAATTCCGGGTCAACCAGAACCCAACCCAATTTTGCAAACAGGTCGATTTTTCGGACCCAAACCTAACCCGCTTCGGGTTCGGGTCAACCCAAACCCGAAATTTTTGGGTCGGGTTCGGGTTGGATTTTCGGGTCGGGTCCACCATTGACAGGTCTACGTCAACTCATAATAGATACAATTTGTGTAAATCTTAATTAAGAAGATTATTATGTGCTAGACATAGCCTTTAAATAGAGTTTGAATAAATGGTATTTTATATCATTTCCTTTACACAATCAACAAAATAAACAATCACCATGCATATGTTTTCCCTTTAGCTTAAAGTTTGAGTGCTGAGAGAATAGCCAACCTCCCTTTTTATGAAATAAATTTGAATATTTATAATCACTCGGATGAAAAATATTTTTTACTTATATTAGAATGGATGACAAATGGGGGCACTTTAATCCAAAATCCAAGCTAAAAGAAATTTTGGTCCTTTGCTTTGATCGATTGAAGAGTAATGAAAGAGCAATATCATAATCAGGAGACATTAGTGATGGAACACCTCCATTAATTAAGGATATAATTGTATCTTCAATGTCATTATTAAAAAAATTCTTTATAATATAAAAAATCAATCAAAGACTCAGATTTTAAGATTAGTATTGTTAGAATTCTAATTTGGATATCATATCTATAAATATAGCTTTACATTTAGTATTGCAAGAACTTCAGAATACATAATTTTCCTTAAATTAAAGTTTCATTTGAGACCATTTTCTTACTACTTCGTAAAGTAATTTTCTAGTATAAAAAATTCTAGTTCAAAAAATATTTATACTAAATATTTACTTTAGAAAGCAATAAGAAAACTGTACCAAACAAAATCTAAATTTGAGTTATCATATATATTGTCAAATTAAGAACCTTTCACTGCTTTAAATTCAAAATCAGTTCTGGAAACAAAACATTTCAGAGAACTTCCAAAGTTGCATAAATATACTTCATTGCAGGATCATTAGCAAGTGAATGTCAAACAACAGTAAAAAGAGAACAGCTGAATGGTATGTTGAGCTCTGAATATAGTCTCTATATTGAATCCCTTTTTAAGTTACAAGTACAAAACAATGAATTTGTGAAATTTAGGGATAAGCATCCTAACTACAATGAATTTGGGTTAGCAATCACAAGACAATATTAACTTGACTACTTCTGTGCACAGCTCATCTTGATCTGTTCGTTGGGAGCTTTGGCTACTAATCAGAAGATCTTGAGTTCAAAGCTTGTGTACGTGATGTGTGTCAGTTTGTTTTAATGGTTCAAATGTCCCCCTCCTCGCCCCCCTCAAAAAAAAAAAAAAAAACTACTTTTTTCAATAGTGTACATGTCCTAGAAAGTGAAGTGTTAGGGTTTATTTTCATCAGAATCAACATCAGACTCCATAAAAGTAAATGACCTTCGCCCCTCTAGGCAGAGAAGCAAAGTTCCAGAATTTTCTTCATTGCAATTAATAACCTCCTTCCTTGCAAGGTTCAGTACCTGCAATATCCACAGAAACAATATGTGATGGTTATTTGGTCAATTAGTATCATTTTTTTTGTTTTTCAGATTTGTATTCTATTATTTTCTGAAAGGTTAGGATCAAAAAACATGAAAAATAAAGTTAATGGATGGTTGTAGAGTTGTAGTAGCTAAAGCTTTTGGACATTAGTTGGAAGAAAATGTAAAACAAGGCATCAAAAGATTAAAAAAATGAATAATCATTCATTTTATGAATGAAGTAAGAGTTTTAAAAAACAAAAAATGGAATTCATGGCCGAAGAAAAAAAAATTTAAGTTGCTCATACCGCCTGCTTCAATTTGCCCAGTCCAACACCATCTGCGCCACACCCGGTTATAACCCTAAGAAAATGGACGGCTAGGAAATTTTTTTACGAATAATTAGCATCAGCAGCAAAAATATTTTCATATTTAACAATAGAATAAAGTAAGAAAATGGTCTCTAGTAGGTAGCATGAGATGCTTACAAGTAATGTAAGTGCAGAGTAGTAGGTGAAGCTTCAAGAGCCGAATAGCTTGTTTGACATGCTGGCCGTGTAAATCAATGACGATTGTGTTTTTTATGCCCTTATTTCTGCATGAAAAATATGTTAAAAAATATGTTATACCATACTTCTTTCAGGAAATAATTTTAAAGAAAATGGGATTAAAAACCTGGCTGCAAAAATCTCCTGGCTGGCTTTCTCATCTGCCTCTTGGGCCAACTTCTTGAAAAATTTTCCCTTAACGGAAATAATAATTTTTTTTACCAAAACAGTGATCCAGATTGTAGCAAAAAAATAAAATAATAAAATAAGACATCCCAAAAAACTTGCACTTAACAAGTTCATTGTTATGGATATTGCATATTTATTGCAAGGATGGCAATCTCATTCTCATATAGTAGCAAACAGACGAGATTCGGCATTTTTGAACCAAGAAACGCTTGGTTTCCATTTTGGTTGTAGGTGTAACCAACTCGCTATTAAGGATATAGCAGAAAGAAGTAATAGAAAAAGAGCTCCAGTATAAATTTTTTTTTTTACTCCTATAAAAAAATTTTTTTTTTTTACTCCCCTATAAAATTTTTTTTTTACTCCTATTAAAAAAATTTTTTTTTTGCTCTCCTATAAAATTTTTTTTTTTTCTAAGGGGGGCAAAGCAACATGTGGTTCCGCCCCTAAATTAGGGCCAAATCCTCTAAATTATCTTTGGTTTTCCAGATTCTTATTTGCTCAAGTATCTTACTATATACTTATCTCTCTACGTATTATACATCAGGTCCCAAAACTAGGGTTGTATAATCATCATCATCATTAGACTTATCCAAACTATTTAGCATTAGTATTATGATTCCTCTAATTATCTCTATTTTCCGGATTCTATCCTATTCTGGTATCTTATTATATTCTTATATCTCTATCATCAAGGCCTCCACTTCAGGTTTATCATAATCATAATCTACTCTGCATCAGCCTAGGAATCCCTATTCTCCATTCATTCGTATTGTATTGAGGTGTTAACATATTTTGCACAATTTTCTAATGTTTTACCTTTCATCTCGCTTTTCTTCCTTTAATTCGATGATTCATATTGGGTGTTTTTTTTTTCTTTTATTCTACTTGCTCAAACAACACTTTCATTGTCAGGTCCCAAGCCCTAGATGAGAAAAGTTGAGGGTTGTGTTAGGGAGTTCACGACCAGTGTAAAATTTTCAAACAATCATGACATGAATTATTTAATACATTGTCTTAATGTTAAAGCGTTCCCTGAAGGCGACACACTATATAGCCTGAATACAGCGAAAAGTGTGCAAGAGCCACTATACCGACATTAGGATGTGTAGTGTTAAATAAGCAAAGGTTTCCACATCATGGATAGGTGTGCACAAAGAACCTAGTTCATTAAACTAGAATTAAGATAGGCATTAAAAATATAGGTACTCTTATAGATAGATAAATTAATAGGATTAATATATATTATGATTCATAGGAAGATAAAAGTTCTATATACTCAATAAACTAAATGGGTTGGAAAAGACTATGGAGATTGATAGTTTAAAATTTAAACTATGATATTCAAGAGTCAACTATAATTAATATATGTATGATTATAAATAAGAGTTTGAAATATAATATTATAGAAATTAATATAATTTGAGATATAATTATAGCTTTAAAGATTATTGTTGATGCTAAGATTAATAATATTATAAGTGTCGATGCTCCTCAAATAAGTTTGTACATGTATTTATAAATAAAATTGTTGAATGACTTACAAAAATTAATACAAAAGATATCACTTGAAGAGAGTTTTTAGTGGAGAAGATTTAAATGAACATGTTGATAGAGTGATAGAAATTTTAAGGGAATTTATGATAACTATGGGTTTTGAGCAAATAATGGAATTAGTAGGACCATACTAAATTTTGATTTAGCTTCTGATTTTATAATTACTAATGTTTAATTTAATAAAAGAGTATTTCATCACTTAAAATAATTCTTTCATATTGCAAATATTGTAAAATAATTTCGAGTCAAAGTAAAAGTTTAATTAGTCAGTATTGCTTATTAATTTTTGACTTTAAGATAGAGGGGTAGAAAATTAAAATGAAGTAAAATATTATTTTAGAATTAGATTTAAGTATTTAAAGAATATTAATAAAACAATATTTTTAAAAGTAAGCTTGAAGATCTCAAGATTTGAGTTATTCAAAAGGAAGCAAATATTACATAGGAAAAAAGTATCTAGTGATATTAAGAATTTTATAAAATATGTGCTTGAAAATTAAAAAAAAAAAAAACAACTCATAACACTAAAAATAGTTGGTGGTAGAATCAAAATGTACAAACAAATATAAAAAATAATTTAGATGTAAGAACTCAGAAAATTGAGAAAAATAAAAAGGAGCCTGTGGGAATCTACAAAAGTAATATATAATATAAAAAAATTAACTTTTAGTAAATTATATAATAGATTATCCACCAGGAATGCAAAAGATATATGTATAAGTTAAACAAGCAAAGAAATGGGAAAAATAAGGACTTAGTTCAAGTGAATTGTTTTAAGGATGAAGATAAAAAAAAATTCCCTAGAAGAGGATATTCAACATAAGCAGAAGAGATATTTAAATAAACTTTTAAATGAATATGATCGACTTTAATGGCCTTAGCACCCTACAACAACAACAACAACAACAAGACTTTGTCCCACTACGTAGGGTCGGCTACATGAATCCTTTTTCGTCATTGTGTCCGGCTAAAAGTCAAATTCTCATTTTAATCTAATAAAGAAAGATCATTTCTAATATTTTCTAACCAAGTCTTTTTAGGTCTACCTCTACCTTTCTTAACATAAGTCAAATATAATACTCAACTTTCCTAACTGGGTCATCGGAAGACCTCCGTTTAATGTGACCAAACCATCTAAGGCGACTCTCTCTAATCTTATCTTCCATTGGAGCTACTCTAACCTTTTCATGTATATGCTCATTTCGTATCCTATCCATAAGGGTCAAGCCACTCATCCACCTAAGCATCCTCATCTCTGCAACACTTAACTTAGTATTATGCTTCTCTTTTAATGGCCAACATTCGGCACCATAAAGCATTGCAGGTCTCACCACCATCTTATAGGATTTTCCCTTAAGTTTGAGGGGGACTTTTCTATCGCACAATAAGCCTGATGCATTCCTCCACTTCAACCATCCAACTTGAATTCTACTGATAATATCCCCATCTATTTCACTATCACTCTGAACAATAAATCCAAGATATCTAAAATATGTACTCTTATTAATGACTTGATCGCCCAAAGTCACAATCCCCTCACTAGGTCTATTGCTACTAAAATTACACTCTATATATTCAATTTTAGATCTACTCAAGCGAAAACCTTTAGACTCTAAAGTTGACCTCCATAATTCAAGTTTACTTTCAACTCCCTCTCTAGTCTTATCAACAAGAAGAATATCATCAGCAAAAAGCATACACCAAGGTACATCCTCTTGCAAATGTCTAGTGAGAACATCCATGACTAAAGAAAAAAGATAAGCTCTTAAGGTTGATCCTTGATGTAATCTAATCGAAATAGGAAAATACTTGGTCAAACCACCTTGTGTTTGAACACAAGTAATAGCTCCTGCATACATATCTTTAATGATTTGAATATAAGCATTATTAACTCCTTTCTTTTCAAGAACTCTCCATAGCACTTCTCTTGGAACTTTATCATATGCTTTCTCTAAATCAATAAATATCATATGTAGATCCTCCTTATTCTATCTATATTTCTCCATCAAACCTCTCAATAAATGTATGGCTTCCATAGTAGGCCTACCCGGCATGAATCCAATTTGATTTTGAGAAACATTAGTATCACGTCGCAACCTACGCTGCATAACTCGCTCCCATAGTTGTAAAGTATGACACATTAACTTAATTCCTCTATAATTCGCACACTCATGTGCATCACCTTTATTCTTAAAAATAAAAATTAACACACTCATTCTCCACTAATCTTGCATATTTTTAGTCTTCAAAATAGTATTAAAAAGTTTAGTAAGCCAAGAAATTCCTTCATCTACTAAGCATTTTCACATCTCTATTGGAATATCATCAGGTCCAATAGTCTTTCCACAGTTCATTTTCTTAAAAGTCTCTCTAACTTCGGTTTTACTTATACACTGATAAAAGCAAAAATCTTTATTTTCATTTAGGGTGATAAAATCACTAAAGTCAATCGTATCTTCACATTGTTTATTAAAAAGTTTAGCAAAATACCTCATCCACCTTTGTTGAATATAATCTTCTATGATGCACAGACACGGACACGGCGACACGGATACAACACGACACGGACACGGACACGGACACGGGACACGACAATTATTAAAAATATAGGACACAGACATGGGTTGTACAAGGTATTATAATTTTTATATTTTAAAAATAGTGTATAAAAATTAAATAAGTATAATTTTAAAAATTATTTAGAAATAATAAGTCATTTAACTAGAATTTGTGCTTAAAATGATTAATATTAGGATGTCGAGAGTCGGGTGTCGATGCCATTTATTAGTCATCGAGAGAGGAGTTGACAATGATGTCAATAGTCGGGCATTGATGTTATGCAAAATATATTGGGTGTCAATGTTAAGAGGGCGTTTATCCTCGATGTTGTGAGGGCATTGGTCGTCGATGTTGAGAAGACATTGAACAAAGATGAGATGTCAAGTTGTGAGTGTAAAAATTGTTAGCATCGAGCATCAATATAAAGACAATGCTAGACTTTGATATGGAGATCATTTTGAAATGTTGATGTTGTAACGACGTCAAACGTCGATGTTGAGATGACATTGATCATTGTTGTGAAATTAAAGTTATAACCCACCAAAGAGAAATGAAATATTTGATGAATGAGGTATTAAGTGCGGGCGATTGATTTGGTGTTGTGGATTAAATATGTAAGATATGCGTATCGGACACGTGTGTCCGATTTGTATTTAATTTTTTTTTAATTGGACACGTTTGCAGAGTGTCCGACACGTGTCAGAGGAGTGTCGGATGCGTGTCTTGTCGGATACGTGTCGGACACTGCAGGCCTCTTTGAGGAGTCGTGTCGGTGCATCATAGAGCATCTTCTAAGAAAAGTACTTTTTGATCTTCATCCTTAATAAACTTCACTTGAACTAAATCCTTATTACTCCTATCTTTTTGTTTGGCTAACTTATACATATATCTTT